CAGCTGCAGCTGGGGATAACACCACCAGCCGTCTGTTTTCTGGCTCAGGAACCAAAAAGCTTATTTAGAGGTTGCAAGACCATGTGCTTGTTTTAGTTGGTGTTTGGGCTGGCAGGGCTGTCATCGGCGTGGTGCAGAGAGGGGCGGCCAGCAGCCCGTGCTTCCCTTCTGCACCAGGAGCCACGTGCCTGGCTGTGTGGGGTTCAGGGTCCCCTCAGCCCCTGGCCCCCGTGAGAGAGGCTTGGCAATTAAGTGTGTCTTCATGGTGCTTGTCCGCCGCTGCTGCCCATCCTGCCCTCCCAGGCAGCTGGCCCAAACTCTGCCAGCACTGGCAAGAGGTGGGAGCAAACCAGTGAGCTCCAGCGAGGAGTTTACTGGTCCAGTGGTGTTTACTGCATCCAGAATCTTGCAGACCTCTTATTTTCTGGGTTTATCCCGTGGCTGTTGGCTGCGCTTCCCGCTTTGGTGAGGGAGAGGCCATGCACCCTTCTTCCCCGGGTACCTCGCTGTTCAGGCTCGTGCAGTGCACGTGCATGGTGGTGACCCTGCAGCCTTCCAGGAGCATCCTCAGACCACTGCCACCCTGGGACTGACCTGGCATCTGGTTTCACTTCACTTCTTTTTGACCTGGCTCCTCCTTTCCCCTGCTGCAGTGCCTGGAGGTGATCCCGCAGGCTGTCCACATTTCTGGAGATGCGGCCGCATGGGGAGGATCCATGTCCTCATCAGCAAGGCCAGTGGCAGCTGCGCAGCTGGTGTGGCATGGTTGCAGCCTCTTGAACATCTCAGGTGGGTACAGGCACACAAGCCCAGTTTGCTGTCTGTAGGGCCAGTACTTTGGGCTTGCTGTTGGTCACCCAGCTGGCAGGAGCTCCTCCACCCTGCCTTTCCTGCCAGCAAGGGCACCCTGCTGCTTTGCCAGCAGTTTCCAGCTCATCCCATGAGGCTGTCACATAACCCAGAGCTGAAGTGAACAAGCGGAAGCTTATGGGCTTGGACAAAGTGTTCCCCCCACCTAGTGTTTTCCACTTGCTGTGCGTGAAAGCAAGAAAAGGACCTGCAAAATACAGCTGATAGGTGGAGTGGTCCCTTCTCGCCCTGGCAGCTATCCCCAGCGACGCATTTTAAAGCATGCAATGGCAGATCTGCACGCCGGGGCTCATGATCACTGGCCTGCAAGGCAGGGAGGTGCGGCCGGAGCGCCCTGTGCTGGGCCAGCAAGGGAAGTCCTGGTGGAAGCAGCGTTTTTTATCTGGGCTGCCTGGGCTCTGCCTTTGAATGCTTGGAAATGCTCTTCTCCAGATGTTTCCTAGCACACGCCGGCTCTGTTTATAAACAGCTCCTCAAAGCAAAGCCCGTCGGGGCTGCAGGCAGGCGCTTGCGGCAGCAGCCCCGCACAGCTCCCCCGCACCCTCTACGGGGTCGGGGGCCTGGGGTCACCTCTTTCCCCTCCCATCTAGAGGGGCCAGGGCCATTAACAAAAGCCTGAAATGCCTCCTCTTCCTTTCTCCCCTCCTCCCAGCCAGCAGCTTCCTGCCCTGTTGCATCCCGGCGGTGGCCGGCATCTCCGGGCTGCCTTCCTGCCCTGGCTTTCGCCGCCGGGGGAGCAGGGAGGAGGGCACCCTGGAGCCAGGGCCGGCGGCACGCTGCCCTGCCTGAACCACCTGTCCCAAGGGACATCCCAGCTGCTCCAGGGGCTTGGGACTGGGAGACGTTTGCATTGCGTCCAGCCAGAGTTTCAGTTCCTTAATGGAAAGCGTTCGTCTTGGGGAGGGCTGCACCACCGGCAGCCCGGCCCCTCCCTGGATCCTGGCAGCACACTCATCAAGCCCTTGTGATTTTCTTCCCATGTCTTGCCAAAACTTAAGCCAGGTGCCAAGGGGTGACATCAGGCAGGCCAGAGCGGCGCGGGGCGCAGGCTGGGTTAGCTGTTTGGCTGGTTGCTGTGCTTCCCCGGCCTCCTCTCCCCCAGAGAAAATGATGCTCTCGTAACCGTGACTCCTTCCACTTCCAGGGGGGTGGAGGTACCTTTCAACCATGTTCTTCTCTGTCCTGGTTCCTGCAGAAGGAGAGAGCTGAAAGCCTCTGTTAGAAGGACAAAAGCCAAGCGAAATCCAGGCTAAACAGATGCTGCCAGTGGCTCTGCCAGGATACCTTTCCCTCGGTTGGCCTGAGCCCAGCCCTGGAAAGGCTGTGGCGTGGTGCTGCGAGCAGGTTCCTCAGCTGTTGGTGCTGCGGAGCTGCCCGCAGCTCGTCGCATCCTGGATCTCGCCCCAGCATCGCTCCCCGAGGACAGCCCGTCCTCCCCAGCCCCGCTCCCCTGCGGTCCCCACGCGCGGCTCGGGGAGGATGGCCCCGTCACGCCAGCGCCGGGAGGAAGGGCTGAACAATTGCTGCTTGTCGGTCTGTCTGCTCTCCCCGCAGAAAAGGGCATGTTGCTCCCTTCTCGTTACCAGCCATCGCCAAGTAATCCGCTGGGGAACGGCGTTGTTCAAACATGGAGTCATTTGATACAGACGTACTTTCTCCCCACCGCGGCCTGGCTGCTGTAGCAGGGCGATGCTGAGGGCTCGGGCACTCGCATTTTTCCTATTCTAGCTGCTTGCAGGGGCTGTACCTTTGTCCCTCAGCTTGAGCAGCGTGTGTTCTTGGAGGTAAGAACATGAAAGGAATAGTCGGCTCCGCTGCTGTGGAGTTGTAAAGGTGCCTTCCTCCACAGCGCTGCTCCCCACCTCCCTCCTTCCAGCTTTATTTTTTGGGCATGAGGATGGCTTTCCTGGCACTGCTAGGGAGAAGCAGAGAGAGCAGAATATGCAGAGGTGGGCTTGAGCCAGTCTCTGCTCAGACCCCTGGACCTGAGCACCTCGGGAGGCTGATCAGTGCAAAGCTGGGTCTTGTCTTTGCAGGTTGAGCTTCCCTGTAATGCTGCGTGGAGAGCACTTTGCCTTCCTTTTCTCATGAGCATCCACGAGTCGTCTTTGCGGTGGCCTGGTGCCTGTCCTCAAGACTTAATTGCTCTTTGCAGGGGCAGAGCCCTTTCATCCCTTCCCTGCCCTTTAGATCAAACAAGCATTGCTGCCCGCAGGCTCCAGTGAGGCAGCCAGTCCTCCGCTCCCCTTCCCTGGGAGGCGTGGAGACGGCTGCTCAAAACCTGAGCCTTCCTTCCATGGGAAACTGGCGCTTGGAAAAACCCTTTCTGTCCTGAATCAGGCGAAAGGGAGCACTGTAAAGACCCTTAATGAAATGAGAAATGTCAGAGGTTTGAATCTGAAGTGATGCTGCGTGATGGCTGTGGTTCTCTCGGGAAATACAGAACGTGCTGACTGTTGACATTATTAATAGATCCACATTCTCTGCTGGGATAATTCTGTGGTGGCTGCTGAATCCCACTCTTGCCTGGGCAAGGCTTCTCGCAATCCTGTGCTGTCCTGGCTCCTCTCGGGATCCAAAGGGCAGGCCAGAAGGGTAGATTTAATAGTCTAATCCCTGCACAAGCCTTAGGATTCCCTGAGCTAGTGCCCGTTGGAGCTGAACACAGCTTCTTACAAGAAAAAATTCAATTTAAATGTTTGCAGTGCTGGAGTACCCACCATGACTCTGGAGCTGTCCCAGGGGCTAATGTCCTTGCATCTTGTATCTGAAGCCCAGCATCAGCTTCCAAGTGTGGAGCCATATTAAACCTTCAGGTGCTAAAACCAAGCCATCTACCAACAAATTCTTGTTTCGTGGAGGTACATGGAGACTTTGGTTGTTGTCTGACAGATTTGGAGAGGACCCAGCACAGCAGGCTGGGCTTATTCTTTCTAACAGCGTTTCTCCCCAGCATCTTCAAAGCAAGGTGCAAAAAAACCTGCTGTAGCTTTGCCTTAAGTGTTAGGACTGGAAGGAGAGTGTGGTGCTGGCTCCCCTGCGTTGCCAGACGGTGTGGTGGGGGCCACGGGTCCCTCCTGCCCACCTCCGAACCGCAGGCTTGGTCAGCTCTTAGCTGCCTGGCTTTGCAGCAGAGGATGCTGCTTGGGGGCAGAAGACTTTCAGTCTGAATGGGAGCGATTTTTTGGGGAGGATTCCCAAAGCTGCTTGAGTAATAGCACGGGATGAATCCAGTTCCTGCAAGTGGGAGCAGCTGATGTGTGTATGGTGGGGTGTGCTCACTGCCCCAGGGCTGAGGAAGGAGCCAAAGATATTTTGGGGCTGCTTAGGTAGTCTAAATTTTTCCCACTTGAATCACCCTCTGGAGTTAGTTTTGTATGTTGCTAGACTTGCACCGCTCTCTTCTTCTTGGCAACTGGAAATTCGCTGGTGAAGATTGCATCTGCCAGAGCTGCTACAGCTGAGACTTCATGGGGCTGCAAATGCTGAAGGCAGTGCTTGTTTCCTAATGAGATGTTGCCATTGAATTTCTTTTTTTATTTTTATTTTGAAGTAATATTCTTACCACGCAGATTTATTTCAAGCCATCTTTTTGCACAGCCTCATACTGGGGCCCATCTTTGATCCAGAGCTTCCCAATAATAATAGTAATAATGATGATGATGATGATGATGATGATGATGCTGTGAGCTCTGCTGCCGAGGTCCTGTTAACTGCAGGACGTTTTCCTGGCGTGTACCAGCCATAGGGGCACTTCTGGTGGTCCGCCGTAGGCACTGGCGATGTGGTTTTGTCTCCCCATGCAGCCATGTGAGCAGTCACACGATCCTGTGTCCAGTTGGCCCATCAGAGCGATGCTGGTAGAAACAAAAGGGGCTTTAGGAGAGAGCAAGAGTGGTTTGAGGTCTGGGCCCTATCCTGTGCAGGGGGATGGAGAGAGCTGCAGCCCATGAAGCACTGGGCTGCTCTGGAAGGCTGGGTGCCTCCAGCCAGCAGAAGACAAGCACTGCGAGGTCCCTTGGGTGGGTGGTAGATCCTGTGCTGTGATCCAGACCTGCCCAGACTTGAGGTGGCTGCTCTTTGAGCTGTGCTCCCTGACTCCCCTGTTCCTGTTTTTCCTCTTTTTGCAGGCACACATTCTGGCAGTATCGCCGTGAGAACCCCCAAACCAAAGTGGGGGACCCTCCTCCTGATGGGCTGCCCGGCTTCAACAGCGGCGTCCTGCTCCTGAACCTGGAAGCCATGAGGCAGTCCAAGCTCTACAACCAGCTGCTGGAGCCCACCATGGTGCAGAAGCTGACCGAGAAGTACCACTTCAAGGGTCACCTCGGGGACCAGGATTTCTTCACCATGGTGGGGATGGAGCACCCAGAGCTCTTCCATGTGCTTGACTGCACGTGGAACCGGCAGCTTTGCACATGGTGGAGGGACCATGGATACAGCGACGTGTTTGACCAGTACTTCCAGTGCGAGGGTGAGGTCAAAATTTACCACGGGAACTGCAACACCCCAATCCCTGAAGACTAGGGCACCCGCTGCCCCCGGGAGCAGCTCTGACTGCAGCAAGCCCTGCAAAGCCATAGTGACCAGCAGTCCCTTCGGAAGGGTGGCCAGCTGTCATCTGTTGCATCCCAGAGGGATCCCTAGGGATCCCAAGAGCATTCAGCATCCCGCTGCCTGTAGCCTCATCTCTCCAGGAGAAAGTGCCGTCCGGTAGTTGGAGCAGGACGTTCACAGTCACTGTGCCCGGGCTTAGCTCCCGACTCTCACCTGGCTCTGCATGGGACAAGTCCATGGTGCCCGTCTGTGCCACAGCCACCAGGGCAAGGGGACAGCCGAGGGCCTTCAGGCACCCGCTGCTTTTGCAGATGTCAGAGGGCTGCTCCATGGGTGCTCTGCAGCCTTGCCTTGTCTAATGGTCAACAGGCGGCCGCAGCCGGGCAGTTGGGTTTCGTTTTGGCACTCGGCAGTGGCCTGTTTCTGCATCTGACGCAGAACATCCGTCTGGTCCCTCTGGAGAGCAGACACCGTCCTCAGGTCATCTTTCTTTTGAAGCATTCCAGAAAGCGAGAGGGTTTTAAAGACTGAAAAGCTGCTTTAAATTGGGTTACCTACAAACAGAAATCGAGTGCTAGATGAGCTTTAAAGACTCCCATTGGTTCTTCTTAGCAATAAAAGCATTACTGGCCTATCTTGTCTTAAAAGCGTTCAGTGAGCGTGTACCAATAGGTTCATTTTTCTAGCTTTGCCTTTAACCTTTCGTACAAGAATAAAGCTGCAGATGTAAAACACTCTGGGCTGTTTTTCTGCGGCACAACCGTGCCTGTTGAAGTCCTGTGCGATAGGAGGTTTCATGCTTTTCTTACCGTGATTAAAAAGTAGTTGATGTATGTCTGTTGGGCAGTTGAATGTGTTGCCCCACATAGCTTATTGCTCTGATTATCCCAGGTCTGTCCCGAGCAAGTGATGCAAATAAACGGGCCAACACCCAAACAGGATTTTAAAAAAAGATCCTCATCACCGCAGCCGGAGTTGGTTTGGAAGGAGCTGGGAACTGCCTGTGCTGTGAATGCGTGGGCTTCAGGCATGAGCACTCTGCTCCCTAAATAAATCCTGTCTCGGCTGGCCCGGTCGGCGCGGGCAAGCTCCTGCACAGGGCTCTGTCAGAGGAGGTGCAGGCGCGCATTAACCCGCATTCAGCCCTGCTTTTTTTACACCGAGCCGGCATGTGCCTGTGTGTGCATGTCTGTGCGAGCATCTGTGTGACGCGCACGTGCAAGAGCGAGGGATGAGGACTTAATTATGGCTTAACCTACTAACAGCCCGCACAGTGTGTGGCAGGAGTTTCCTGGGCTCCTTCCCGTGTCCGTGAATGAACGTTTATCTTTACTGGGCTTTACGGAGGCTCTCCTCCCGCTGCCTGATGTAAGGGGAAGGGCGGGCTGCAGCCCTAACCCTGCCCTTTGATTTGCTGAACCCGTCTGTTTCCAAATAGCACACAAGCTCTGCTTTAAGCATCTTCACATCCCCAGGGAAGGAACTGTGAAGAGGTGATTGAGGGCCAGTGAAAGCAGCAGTAGCCTGCTGTGTTAGACTCACGTTTTCACCAAAAGGCAAGGTGATCAGGCCTCACTGGGCTGGGCAAGCGGCCGGCGTGCTGGAGGCTGCAGCGGGGCAGGATTCAGGGCAGGCGATGCACCGTGATGACGCACCCTGAAGGACATGGAGGGTCTGCAGCCACTCAGCCAGGGCTGCTGCCATGCTTGGAGAGCACACAGCCTCCCGGGGACTCTGGAGGGAGACTTTGCTTGGTTGGTGCCCGCTCTGATTTAGCTGTGAGCTGGGTGGGGACATCCCCATGTTGCGTGGCGGGGAGCAGCCCCAGGAGCCACCCCCTGTGCCCCTGCCCAGGCAGTGTGACGCTGCTTTCCCGGGCCCGCTGGGCAAAACGGAGAGAGGGCAGGGCTTCCTGGGGCAGTGTCAGTCCCGTGGCTGGCATCGGCGCTTTGTCACCGCCCTGGCGTGTCCCGAGGCCCCTGCGATTGCCGCGGGCAGCTCCC